ATCACTATCAAAGTCATCAAAAATTGATGCGTTTAGCTTGACTGGTGTGTCTTTAACTGTTTGCTCATGTGTAACTGATTTGTTATTTCTTTTTTGTTCTTCTATAATTTCTGGTTCATTTATACTCTCTTCTTGTTGTTCTTTTTTATTATCTTCAACATGTGTCTTTTCATTATTCAATAACTCTGGATGTAACTGGAAGAGTAATTCACTGTTCATATTAAGAATGTTCCAAATCACTTTCATTTGGTTGTTATTTTTCTTTTGAAGTTTCTGAATTTTGTCTTTGAGTTGGTCTATAACTATAGTGTAATGTTTGATATTGAAGACTTTATTTTTGTTATTATTTTCTAGGAGTTAAGTCATTAGTCTTAATGAGATGTTGTTTGTGTCGTAAACAAACTGTAAGTTTCAAAAGAAGAAATAATTTTTTCATTCATTTGCTTAGACCATTGTGTTAGTTGTTCTCCGAGTGATTGTTGTTCTGAGAATGTGTTGATATCAACCAACCCTGTTACCATGTCAAGAATTATTTGATTTTCCATTTCTATTTTCTTGTCAATTTCCATTTCCTACAAATGATGAATATTTATTATTTCTTCTAAAAAATGATAAACAAACAATATTTTTGATAATTTCATTGAAACTATCCTTTGTTTCTTGTTTGTAAATACACTCGTTTTCAAACATAACTTTTAATTCATTTTCATTACATTCTTTATGTCCTTCTTTAAAACAATCAAATGCCACTTTGTGGAATTCTTTAGTAATATCCATTTCTGTTTTTTTTTAGTTTTTTTCAATACATAAAATGTGTTTTATAAAGCAATTAAAATAATTTAATTAATAACTCTTACTTAAATATTATCCATTTTTATGGTTTTAAGATATTACTTTATTAAAATTAGTGTTAATTTCTTTATCACTTTTTGTGTTACTTTGATATTGTTTTGATATTTAACTAAGTGTTTGTGTCATCAAAATTATTGTTGTTATATTTGTAGACTTAATTTATTTCATTTAGTTGTTTTTAATATCCTTATTATTGTTATGATGTTTATTATCTATTTCTATTTTAATTGATAGTTTATGAATAAACAATAAAATACTTATCATAACTAGAATAATCTCTACGTATCTCATCTTTATGTGTTTTTTTTTGTATTTTCTTTTATTATTTTTATATTTACTTTTCCTATTTGCAGTGTTATCATTACACTTTCATTCTTTACTGTAGCATTATCATTGATATATATTTTCTTTTGTTTTTTTTTTTTTGAAGATATATTATTGTATATATCAAACTTATATCACTTCATATACTAGTGATATATTATATAGATAACACATTATTAGTACAATATCTGCATTTTTCATTATGTACCATATCTGCTTTAAGGTTATTTTATAAAAAAACATTAAACCAAAGAATAATTTATTAATAACATGCCAAGTTAACTTATCATTAACTAATATACATAAGAATATACATTTCATGTATTAATTGCTGTTTAAATATTTCTTATTAAATCAATTGTTCTCAATGGAGAATAATTATTTTGTGAATATAATAAATATAATTAACTTATCTAACTGAAAATTAGTCAAAGTGTAACAATAGCTTCAATGAAAAAATATTTGTACTATATTTTGTTCATAAAATTGTTTTAATAAAACTTGATTTAATTATTTTATTGTATTTTCTGATATGTGAAAAGGTTTATATCATCTATTAGGAATATATTTCCACAAATTTTTTTATATAATTATTTTATCAACAAATAATATGTATAAATTAATATTTTTATGTTAAATTAATTAAAATGTAGAAAAATAATTTACTATTATAAGAGAGAATCAAAATGACGCAACAAATATTAATTATAAATGACTTGTATTATCATCCTTTAACTAACACATTCATTTCTTCATTTTCTTTAATACATTAAATTCTATTATTAGATTCATTTTTGTTAAAAATAACACAAATATTGTTTATTTTTAGATATTTGTTTTTGGAAGAATAAAAAGTCTGTGAAATTATTTGATGAGAAAAATCACTTGGTTGTTGAACAAATCAAAAACACATCTCTAAAAGTTACAATAAAAAAAAAAAAAAAAAAAGGAATCAATTATGATTAACCTTATTTTTTAGGTTTTTCATCATGTTGAGAAGTGAGCGAATCAGTTTCTTCAACACGCTTTATTTCTATTGAAATAAAGTTTTTGCAAGCATGCTCGACTTAAATGGTTCCTCAATTAAGTTGCTGCCTGACTTTTATTTTGATTTTAATGAGTAATATAATATTTCTCATTCTTTATATTGTTGTTTTAAGGAGAGTATATCCATAACATACTGTTATAGCTCATCTCCTTTTACCTTCGACACCCCTTAAAGAAACCCTATTCCTTGATAATATCCTTATGTTTAATTTTTGTGCAACAATATCAATTATATATGCGTCTTCTTTAATAAATGATAATTCTTAATATGTAATACTCCCTTAGTAAATAATAATCCTTATAATTAATAATGAATAACAATACACGTTAATGAATAACAATACACGTTAATGAATAATAATCTTTTATAATAATCACTTCTAATAAATATTAATAACAATAAACAGTTAGTGTTGAATAGATATTATCTCACCAAAGGCACGTCATGACCAGACGATAACTGGGAGATTCGAAGCATGGGATTATTTTAGGGTTTCATGTGGTGTCTCTGACGTGCCATCTTCGAATCTCATCTCTAAAAGTTACAATAAAGTAAATATTGTAAAAAATTATAACAAACAATTATCATAGAGGCAACAAAGTCAATACTTTTTCACAGTGTATTTATTGAAGAGAATAAAAACAAAAACACTAATTTTTATATTGGAATAGCACATTACATAATTAATAAAGTATAATGTTAGTTATAAAGCATTAGGTACAATATATTCCAAGGTAATAAATATCAAGTATTATTATATTATTTTTCATCAACAAATAACCCATAAAATTAAAAGGTAAGTTGGCTATTTAAACTCTAATTTTTATTTATAACAAAAAACAATGTTAATTGAAGTGATTTGGCTATTTGAAAATAAAAATTGATCAGATGCATGGTTTACATAAAAGAAAACACTCACCAAACATTTATCTACAACAATATAAAATTCACTAACAGTAATTAAACTAATTGACTTTGTTTAATATCCCCTTACCAAAAACTCTCAATACAAACATTGAAAGCATCAGACTATGAAATTGGTTTGGTTGGTTCTGTTATATTTCATTTAAAAAAATAAACCCAGAATTAAAACTTCGTTGTAACTAAATACTGCCATTTGGACGATATAAAACATGCCATTAATTTTTGACTCTTCTTAACAGAAGAGGAATGCGATAATTCGAATTACTAATGGAAGTAGAGCAAATGCTAAAATAAGGTATTTTTGGAATTTTCTTTGTTGTATTTGTTCTGGCGTTAATTGTTCTTGAGGCACATTACCTCCAAAAACATTAACATTAAACATCCCAGGAAATCCAAATCCAATGGCAAAAGTTGCTATATTCCCACCAACTCCACCAGGAAAAAATGGTAAAAATGGGTTTGGCTGAGGAGCAGGTGGTGGTTGAGTATAATGTCCTTGAGGACGAGGTGCTCCACGTGGGTCGTTTGTGGTTGTAGAATTGTATATTGGAATAACTGAATCAACTGTAACTTTTGATTTACAAATAGGGCATGTCTCTTGTCGAGTAAGCCATTCTCGTAAACATTCCCAACAAAACATATGTCCACATTGTGTAACAACTGCATTTTGTGCTGTGTCAAGACAAATCAAACATTCAAATTGGTTTTGCCCCGTTTCTTTCGTTGACTTTTCTACATCTTCAGTTTTTTCTTCTTTTTCTTCCGGTATTTCTTTTTGGTTGTCTTGTGTTTCTTCTTTTTCTTCAATAGTACTAATAGAATTATTGCTATTCTTATTTTGTAATTGTTCTATCATACTAAGTGAATTGTGTTGAGGTTGTTCCATTCTTTATAAACAATTATTTTTAAAATAAAAGATGGTGATGAATTTATTTTGATTTATCTATTCAATAAAAAAATAAAATAAGTAATTTTTATTTAAGAAAAGAAAACCAGAAAATTAAAATAATGAAAAAACAAAACATAAAAAAATTTAACAAAAATAAAATTGTTTTTCATTCAAGATTGTTATTTATCACTTTTTCTTATTTAATTCTGAACCATCATTGTATCTTCTTCTCTTAAATATTCTCCTAATTCTCCTTGATTATAACAGACAATCCCTGTTGCACTTATTCGAGAATATTCAACTGAAGAACATGCTGTTGTTCCAAATCCATTTGCAATATCATTTTCATTAAACATAACACATCCTATGTTTCTTGCCATGTTGTCTGTTATTTTACTTATTCCGTTTTTGACTAAATGATTTCCATATAAAAATGATGTTTCTGCTTCTGGTTTTACCCATATTTTACATGAACATTATTGTGCTAAATATGGTAATGCAGTTATGTGAAGTTTAAATTTCCCTGTTTTAGTGAATTTCCCAAAACATGTGCCAAGTGATAATAAATTCTCTCTTCCAATTGTGGTAGCTTGTTCTGCAATACTAAGTCTCACATAATAAACTCTATCCTTTTGTAATCTAAAACAATACTCTTCATTTTCGTTGTCTATTAAAAATCGAATGTTTCTGCCAATGTACTTCGCTAGTTTCTCAAAAAAATGATTTTGTTTCTTCATCAGTTAAAGGTCTCATTCCTCACTTCTCTCTTTTGCTTTTCAGTTGTTTTTATTTCTGTTGTTTTTTTAAAGGGGTTTTTCTTCTTTTTTTTCTTCCTTCTATTTCTTGTTTTTTCTTTTTTTGTAATTTATCCCACAATTTTCTTTCTTGTCTTTCTTTTCATCTCATTTCTTGTGATATATCCTATGATGAACATTCTAACCATTTGTTTGCATTAAACTCTACACCACTAATACTCTTTATTGAATCAATTCAAATACTCACCTCTCAATTTGAAGTAAATCGAATTGTGGATATTCTATTAATTGACCTTTTTTCTTTTCGTCTCATTCACTAATCTATTTTCTTTCATTAATTACACGCAATAAAATTCTTGATTGAAACAACAAAATTATTTTCTTACTTGAACTTGTATTGTAAAATAGTCATTCTAATAATTAAACTAATAGTGTTAAGATATTTTATAAAAACTATTATATCAAACGTTATATTCTATTAATCCAAGCTTGTTAAAAAGCTATTGCTGATGTCTTCAATCAAGAATAATAACAAAGTCTCTCTTATAAATTTTAATGTAAATAAAGTGAATAATGCTAAATTATATGAATTTTTAAATTATTCCTATTTATATAAGACGAACTAAATTATAAAAAAAAGAAATATAACCAATAACTAAGTATATTATTTATTGACAATGGTATTATTACCACCAATTTTTATATTATTTCTGCTAATAATTTTATTGAGTTTAAAGAAACTTCAATATTATTGAAGTTCTTTAACTATTATTACTATTATCATGCAAGTAATGTACTTTTATTAATTAATTACTTAATTATATCTATCTAATTTTTTACGACAGTTATTGGATAATGTTAATTGACTTTTGTTTTCAGTAATTTTATCCTTTATATTATCGTCTATATTTATTACTACTAATTACTGTTTTTTTAAATAAATGTTGTATTTCGAATTCCATCAAAATTAAAATATTTATTTTAGGATATAAAAGTATGGAACTAAAAAATGAAAAATGGTATATAAATATTTTAGTGTTGCATGAAAATTTAATATTGGACTTTTCTTCCATAATGAATTAATACTATTTAACATATTAATGAAAATGCATTACCACTACTTGATTTAAAAATTTATTGTCCATTTTATTTGATGAATAAAACGAGATCGAAGGTGGCACGTCTGAAACACCACACATAAACCCTAGTACAAATTCATTCTTCGACTCTCCCAGTTATTATCTGGTTATGACGGTGCCTTTGAATTAGGAATGTATTAGGGAATGGTGCAAAGGGTGCAGCAAGAGAATACAGTAGAATATTACGTGGATGTAATATAAGAATCTACTGAAGTGTGGGTATGACTAAAAGAAGATTAGTCAAAGTAAGACTAAAAAGAAGATTAGTCAAAGTAATACAGTAGTAATAAAATGATTCCTTCTTCCATTCATAAAATAAGAAAAATGAAATTCCTTAAAATTAAGGCAGAAAACAAACAAAGGCTTAAAAAGAAGAAATAAGCAGAAGAAGTTTGAAAAACCTTAATAAGAAGAAATAAAACAAAGAAGTGCTTTCCTCATTTTGCAAGAAAAACATAAAGAATAGGTTTAACAAAGAGATTACTCTTTTTTAATAAGCTCAGGGATGGGATTAGTCTCCCCTGAGCTAGGAAGAATAGATGAAAATTCTATTAATACTTAATTAACTACTTTTTATTTTATTTTATTTGATGAATAAAACTGATGTTATACAATTATTAATAATTATTGTAATATATGAAACAATGAAAGAAAAATAGAGGTATATATGACTTTTTAAAGGTACTACAATATTGTAATATTTTAATGTATGAAATAAATAACATTCATTAATTTATCAGTTACTAGAAAATAAAATTAAGTTATAACAGTATTAGTAGGCAATAATTTTTATAGACTTCTTTTTTTAATATATTATATTTTAACATTAAACCATTGAATAAACAAACACCTCATTCGCCTTTTTAATTATTTATTTTATATATTTTATTAGTTATTTAACTAATTACTTAATAAATTTAATTTATAATTCATTCCAAAAACATTATGAAGTTTTATGTCTTTTGATGAATATGACTTAGTTATATTTTCTTTTAATTTATCAGTTGTAATATTAACACATGTAAACATCAGTACTTTCTTCTTTTAGTTCAAACATTCCTATGCATCATTTGGTATCAACCCTTTATATTTAGACGTTATTTATTCCATGATTTTGATTTTATATATGTTACATGTTTTATTCATTTCTATCTTATTGTTTATTTAACAACAACATTATATTAAACTTAATAATATTTATTTAGTCTCTTGGCTTAACACAAGTCTCATTATATCTTATTACACAATACTTACACAAAATATGCGTTATATATAATCGCATTATATAATATTTATTCAATATTGTTAATCAAAATTAAAATATTTATAAATCAATCAGGAGTTACTTTTTAAAGATGAGATAAATTAGCTTATAGTTTAACATATTGATTAATTAAAACAATAAACTTTAGTTGAGGCTTTAATTTGGCAAGGGGATATATGTAAAAAAGAAATAAATGTTATAATATTGTTTTAGAGTTACACAAAATTTTTAATTGAGAATAATACATATCACTTACTAAAAATGAATTTTCTTGACTTGATTTAGTAATGCAAACGCAATACCAAAGGTTTTGTTCATTAGAGATAAATAAAAAAATTATTAAGTCAAGTTATTTATAAAAATAAATTATTCATATTTAATTTACTGACTAACTCTCATTAATAATACCATAAAAATGTTTATTTCCTTGGTATTGGATTTAAATTCTTTTTTTTTTTTTTTTTTGTTCTTTTTATTTTTACCTCAAACCTTACAATTAACAAATAATTTAAAAATAGTTTTAAAACAGATACAAAACAAAAAGCGATAAGTTTTTATAGTCATCGTACTTACACATATTGCTTTAACTGATCGTTAAGAAATAATAGAACGCATACTTATTTTGGAAAAATAACATTTATATTATTTTACTTTATTTTTACTATGTATTTGCGATAGTTTAAAAACGTTTACGATATAAAAATATAATTTTAATGTAGTTACATTCTAACATAAAAAACTTACTGAAATTTAGTTATAAATAAAACATGCTTGCTTTTATTATAAATTAATTTCATGTAGTACATGAATTAATTTCAGCAAACAAATGGATGTGAGTAGCAGTTGAAAGGATAAGAGACAGAGAATTGGCTTTTTTCTACAGGAGTGAAGACACAAAAAGATGATCTAGTACTAAATGCACATACCTCCAGTTTATCTATTGATACTGAAGAGTAGTTAGTACTTCCTTGTTTCTTTTGGACATGATTAATTAATTGTTTGAGAAAAAATTCTTCTTCTTTAATTACAATTTTTCTACCATTTGGAGTAATTGCGGAATCCCATACATAGAAGTGTATTACTTTTAATGATTCTTTTAAAGCATTTATTCCTAGTTGTAATGAATATCCTTTACTTAATAAAATCCAAGCAAGTGCATTGGAAAAGGAAGCTTCTCTATTTCTGCATTCGTTTATTTGAGAAGACTTAGACGGAAACCTATCACAAGGAAGATACGACTCATCACATATTTCATTTTTTAGCATTGACTTTGTTATAGTAACAACCCTTTCTTTCCTCAGTTTAGCATCATTAACAAGTGCATGAAGGTTTAAACAAAGGAGCTGTGAAAATTTAGAAAACGATGCTGAGTCATATTTTGTTTCTTTCATAACAAGCTTTTTCCCAACAAGTACTTTCAGTGCGTAATTACTTTGCTTTGATTTGGAAAAAGTCATCCTTCCACCTTCATTAACAATCAATGATACAAGAAGTGCGGTGGACAAAGCTTTTTTTGATCTTGACAATGCTCTACTAATGATGCAGCTCATTCTAATTAATAATTCTTTTTTTTAAGTTTTTATTTCGTAGTATGAGAAATAGTTTATTCGTTTCTTTTGGAAGTATCTTCAAAAAATAAGAGAAAAGTTATTATATTCTTAAATTCTTTCACTTGAATTAATTTCCTATTTTGAAACGCCTCACAAACTATTTGTGGAATGGAGTTTTAGGTTGTTGAAGATTCAAAATTAAGTACTATATTTGCCATCACTTAGTTTGTTCATCAAAAACATAAATAATAGTTTTAAATTGCTTCATTTTCATCACCTTCTAGAGACCTCTTTCTTTGTTTTTCAGCTCATGTATTATTCGTAATGTTGTTTTAGTTTTCTTTTCATGAAAAAGTTCTCAAACAAATAGAAAATTGAAAGATATAAAAATGAGGTAAACTAAAAGTAATACAATAAATTATTAATAATAGAATATTGTTATAGTTTTTAGATTATGAATGAAACAAGTATCTTTTATTGAATTATAAAAAAATAAGAAGACGGATATTATAATAAAATAAATTAAATACTATTAATAAATAGAATTTATAAATTCATTTATTTGATCTAATTAACCTTAGAAAACATTGACTATCTTAAAGTATCTTTATTCCGTTTATCTACAGTTTTTATATAGCCATAACCCCCTCTTAATTCTTGTTTTAATATTATAATGTTATAATGTTATTTTCATTTAAACATCTTCTTCTAAACATTCTTTATTTTCTTTTCTTTCTTTTTTCGTTTATTCTATTTATTTTTTAATAAATCATGATAGTTTCATATTCAATATTCTTTTATAATTCTTTTTCTGAGTTAAATCATATTATTAAATTTTTTCTATTTGGAACTTCTGTTTGAAGTTTAATGTTTTTCTCCTTATTAATTACAAGTTAATTAATCATCATGTAATTTGTTTCTATTAAATTATCAAAGAATATTTATCCTGAATGTATGAAAAAAGAATTAATTAATACAGGTTATTTAGTGACTTGTTCCGTTCAAAGTTGTTCATTGTCATTGAGTATT